GGCCGGACGCGAGGCGTAGTTGCGTGCGCGCTCCCGAGTCGACTTCCGTAGCCTTCGCGCGCGCTGGGTAGAGGATGGAACCCGCTCGAGGACATAGCCGGCCAGAGGCTGTGCGCGTGCGCAAAAGGATCCCCCAGCACCAGCGGCCGTTCTAACGGAGGCGGCGGCTGAGCGGAGGCGAAGGCTGAACGAAGACGAGCCTAGGGCAACTCGTTACTATATTTCCGCTATAAATTTTTTTTTTAATCCTCTAAGGTTTTTTGTTTTGTTTTGAGACAGGGTCTCACTCTGTCGCCCAGGCTGGAGTGCAGTGGCGCGAGCTTGGCCAACTGCAGCCTTGACCTCCGTGACTCAAGCGATCCCCTCGCCTCAGCCTCCCGAGCAGTTGGTACTACAGGCGCGCACCACCATGCCCGACAAATTATTTTTATTTGTTGTTTGAGACGGAGTATCGCTATGTTGCCTAGGCTGGTCTCGAACTCCTGGGTTCAAGTGATCCTCCTGCCTTGGCCTCTCAAAGTGCAGGGATTACAGGCCTTAGCCACTGTTCCTGGCCGACTAACTGAATTTTTTTTTTCTTCATGTCAGACGCGCGATGTGCCGCCGTAGTAACAAGGTTCGAGGGTGGCACATCTCACACACACGGGAACACCCAGTCATCAGGCTTATAAACTACAAAAAGTCAGCTAACTGAATTCTTACAAGGCATGGGTGATTAGTAAAGAGGGAAAAATAATTAGACCTACTATGCGCAGAGCACTCTGGTGGAAATTGGCAAATCAGATATTTACTTTAGGGCAATTAAAACTACAAACATAAACACTCATGACCTTTGTTCATTTTACAAATGTTTATTAAGGCCTTACTATGTACCACCTATGGTGGTAAGTGTTGAAAATACTGTAAAAATCGGTCATGTTTCCTGCTTTCACTGTACTTCAATAAAAGGGTCATATGGCACTCAATCACACAAATAAAATTGCAACTATGGGCGGGTGCAGTGGCTCACACCTGTAATCCCAGCACTTTGGGAGGCCGAAGAGGGCTGATCAGGAGGTCAGGAGTTCAAGACCAGCCTGACCAACATGGTGAAACCCCATCTCTACTAAAAATACAAAACTTAGCCTGGCATGATGGTGCGGGCATGTAATCCCAGCTACTTAGGAGGCTGAGGCAGGAGAACTGCTTGAACCCAGGAGGCGGAGGTTGCAGTGAGTGCTCCAGCCTGGGTGACAGAATGAGACTCTGTCTCAAAAAAAAAAAAATTGCAACTGTGACTCGTACAACAAAAAGAGACACAGGGTACTATAGAAGGCTAAAGATCTGGGGGTCAAGGAAGATGGTACACAATTCTGTGTAATTAAATGTTCAATGATGTGGGATGGACTCAAGTGGAGATGCAGCTCAGAAAAAGAAGGATCCAGAGAGTTTTATATTAGTTAAAAATATATTTTTTAAAGACAGTCTCTCTTTATCACCCAGGCTGGAGTGCAGTGGCTCAATCTCAGCTCACTGCAACCTCTGTCTACCGAGTTCAAGCAATTCTCGTGCCTCAGCCTCTGGAGTAGCTGGGATAACAGGTGTGTGCCACCACACCCAGGTAATTTTTGTATTTTTAGTAGAGACGGGGTTTCACCATGTTTGCCAGGCTGGTCTCGAACTCCTGACCTCAGGTAATCTGCCTGCCTTGGTTTTCCAAAGTGCTGGGATTACAGGTGTGAGCCACCATGCCCAGCTCAAAAATAAATTTCAAGTAGAAAGAAAAAGTCTATCAAGTGCCAGGCACTGTGCTAAGCATCCCACATGAATTAAGGCTATGTCATTATCTCCATTTCACAACTAAGGAAACAGAAGGGTATATAAGAATGTGAAGGCCAGGCACCGTATGCCTGTAATCACAAGACTTTGGGAACCCAAGGGAGATAGATCACTTGAGTCCAGGAGTTTGAAACCAGCCTGGGCAACATAGCGAGGTCCTGTCTCTATAAAAAATGAAAAAATTAGCCAGGAATGGTGGCGTGCACCTGTAGTCCCAGCTACTCAGGAGGCTGAAG